CTTGCCCTCTCCAGGGATGGTCTCATGTTGAGCCAGCACAGGGAATCTCCTTCTCCAGAGACAGAACTGACAACACCTCAACTGAAGTTGAGGAGGCTGCCTGTGCCCTGGCAGTAGGATGGTTGTCCTTCAGGTTCCAGTGAGGATTAAGTGAGATAGTACTTACATAAAACACTTATCATAAAAAGGCCCCGTTTCTCTCTAATAGTATAAATTCCCAAAAGAAAATTAATTGGAATACACTTTATGCTGAAGCTCTCCACACTTTTAAAAGTGGTAGTGGAAAGGATGAAAATGATGAGATGAAGTCAGTCATCCAAGTTGGGAAGCCCTCTCTGGTGGGTTTTAGACAAGTCCCTCACACATGCATTGTAGAGGAAGGACCACTGGCAGGAGGGGGCCAGGACTGTGAGCTTTGATGCCCCAGTAGGGTCTTAATTTGCATAAAGGGTGAGAGTCTTGACTGGGAAGAAGCTGAGATCCTAGAGTTTTCTTCCTAGTGACTCTTGATAAGAAATTAGCTTAGTCCCTGGCCGAGAATAGTGCTTCATACCTGTAATCACAGCACTTTGGGAGGCTGAGATAGGAGGATTGCTTTAGCCCAGGAGTTTGAGACCAGCCTGGTAACACAGCAAGACCTCCTCTTTTTAAAAAAAAAAGGCGGGGGGGTAAAGAGAAAAGTTGGCTTAGTTCCTGAGCTTGGGTTATGTGAGGCTTAACAGGCTGTGGGCATTGGTGGAAGCTGTGTAGTATGGAATATAGAACAGAGGCCTCAGAACCAGTCAGACTTGGGGTCTGGTCCTAGTCCACCATGGACTAGCAGTGCTAGTGGGCAGGCCACCTAATCTCTTTAAGCCTGTGTTTCCTCATCTGTTTAATAGGAATCATAGTACTTGACCTCTCTGCCCTACATGGGTTGTCATGAGGGTGAGGACATGATCACCTGAAAGTGCCCTCTACACTGTAAAACGCTGTGTAAATGTAAGGGGCTATTCTTGTGTTTGTCTTACTATAGTCATAGACGTTCCTTCCTTTTTTTTTTGAGTTGGAGTCTCACTCTGTCACCCAGACTGGAGCGCAGTGGCCGCTCCCAGCCACTGCAGCCTCGACCTGCTGGGCTCCGGCGATCCTCTGCT